TACTAGATATTAATTAAATTATAAATACATCAATTCATGTGAAAAATTTCATTTTCTGAAAAGGTGGTGTCTATTTACTTGTGACCACGCTGTGTATGCAATATGATCCTCAAGTGGGTTGTTTGCAACATTATTTTATCATTCCATGTGTTATTCCAATAATGGAAATTGCATTGCATTTGTTTTTTTTTTAGCAAAGGAGAGTGATTGCAATGCAGTGTTCGTAGAAATATTTGGAATTTGGTGCAATGTGTGAATCCCGCTAAGTAGCCGCGGGAATTTTTTCTACAGAATGCCACTGTTCCGCGTTATTTAACTGAACGCAAGAAAAGGTCACTATCGAAGTGAGCGTTTTTTGACAGCTGTCATTTCCACAAGAAGTTCAAAAGGGGGATAAATCTAGTTCAATTGAAATCAATTTATTTGACATGGTAAAATAAAATCATACATGTATATAGTATCGACATGAATATATATATATATATACAAGCCATAGACTGACAAAACGATGTTGATGTCGATATGAAATTTTATTTTAAATGATTTTTCTATAATGTATTCTGGTAGAGAAGCATTTTCAAATATAGTTTGTTTTTCTACAGTTAATCGTTCAGGAGATACAGAGCGTGACAGAGAGACACTTAAGTATTAGGCACATAAATAGTTTTGAATTATTAAAATACCTTCAAAGTATATATATATATTTATATGTACATCATGAGTGAAACTGAAGGAATGTCATGTTTGATGTCGTCTTCCTTTTAACATCCGTCCTTACTAATTTAGCCTTAGAAGTACAGCGAAAATAAAACTAGATGAAAGTACCTCCTGAACACAACATACTTCAATCTTAACAGAAAATGTTTGGACCCTGTTAAACCTCTGTCTAAATGCTATACCAGTTACAATAGAACAGACAGTATTGCTACCAAATTCATTATACACCAAGTAGGCTTGCCAGTTTCAACTACCGCAGTGGGCGTAATCATAAAACTCTACAAATTAAAGCCTTTGTTACTTCTCTTCAAAACTTAAAGGTTATAGAAGATATAAGGGCAATATTTTTAAATTCTTAAAGAAACACTCGGTGAAAATTCTTTATGATATTAATAGGCACATCAAATTAACAGATAAAAAGAATTTCATTAAAAGATACTGTTCCAAGTCAATATAATAAACAGAAAAACAACAACAAACAACAACATCGGAAACATCACAACCTACCACATATCCATTAAACGTACGAAATTATATTGGTTTCAATTCTATTCATCCGACCCCCCAGTGGCACAACGGTATGTTTGCGGACTTACAACGCTAGAAATCGGGGTTCGATAGCCGTGTTAGGCAGAGCACAGATAGCCCATTGTGTAGCTTTGTGCTTAACTTCAAACGAACAATCTATTCATCCGACTTCTCACAAAGTTACGGACATGAAACATTCAATGATAACATCTCAAAATCTTGAAGTGAATCAGATCAACTTATATAAAAAAGAGCATATGAAAAATAATGGATCTAATTTATTGAACAAAATAGAGTAACTTCAGATAATAACAAACTTCACATCTAATGTCAATCAAAGTGATCCCATATATATATCAAAGGGTTAAGAGAGACTTAAACAACCAGTAACAACCCCAGTGATCTAATATACAAAAAGGTTAAGATATATTTAAACAAACATTAATAACTCCAGTAAAATAACCATTAACAATCACAGTAATACTACATATCAAAGGTTTAAGAGATACCAAGAGAACCATTAGCAACCATAGTGATCCAATATATCGAAATGTTAAGAGATACTTAAACAACCTTTAACAATTACAGTTTTCATATATCAAAGGTTGAAGTTAAGAAATATTTAAACAAAATTATCATGTGAACAATATGTCGACTTTGCACAAATTTAATGAGATTAGTTCACGAAAAAAATCACATCCAAATTGAAAATAGGATTAGCAGTGTATATAAAAATTCTTTCTTCGGAGCGTTCTTTATTTATGCTTCCAGCTGAGCAAACCATATCCTCACAACAAAATTATATTACAAATAGAAAAAAAACAGTAATATATTATCCAAGTACAATAACATATTCTTATGTATATTTCGTGACATATGGTGTATCGTACAAGAGAAGAACCATGCGTATACAAACATTAGTATGACTAGATGTACTTCTGCAAGGTTCCCGAAAGTGTTCTGTTTCAAGAATGAATAAAATCAAAGGTGACAGTAACAAATATTTTTATTTCTTGCTTTTAAGTTGATATTTCATGCCGTGTTTTAGTCTACAGAGTGCATAGTTTTACTGACGTCACGACAGTACAAATTGCAACGTTAAGCGTCCATTATGTGACATCATTTTCGTGTGATCTGGCTGACTGACAGACAATACACTACTGTACAGTGTTGCGAGTGGTTAAAACCGGTGATCCTTCAAGACGGCCTACGGTTCCCCTTTTGGGGGAAACTATACTAACAGAACATCTCGCCCCATTTCCGTCACTTTACGTATTCACCAACACTAATGTACAACATTTAGTAGCCAAAGAGGAACAAGCTGATTAGTGGTCGAAACGTTTTGGCAGGTTTTAACTTCACTTGTAGCTAGTACTTCAAAATGCGTTTATTATTTTCCCCATATTATTATGATACCGTCATGTTGTGGTTTTTGTATATTCGTAGCCACAACATGGATATTAGAATGGTGGATTATGACAACGATGTACGATTTCGGCATAACTGTTCTGATGTTGGGTAATATATAAAAAAAATCAATCACAAGGAAATGAGACTCAGATAAAAGCACATACAAGGCAATTTATTTAACTCTTAACAATTTTTAATCATTTCAAAACAATTCCTCGCTCAAGTAACATTAGAATTCTGTAAGTTTCAATTAACAACTGGAATGTTGAAAATGTAAATGTCATCAAGAAAGAATGCTTTTCTGAAAAAAAAAAAGATATGTATTGAAACAAGTGTGGAAAATGTACGATAACTCTTTGTTTTTTCTAAATTTTGAATAACACCATCTGTAAATTTTAACTTCTTTCGACTAAATTGAAATACATATCCAATATTTCTTTATTTCCTATAGGAAAACCAGAGAAGAGGGTGTTATTGTTAACAAAACCAGAGAAGAGGGTGTTATTGTTAACAAAACCAAAGAAGAGGGTGTTATTGTTAACATTATTTATAATGACTTTACTCACTGTGTAACTTATATTACTTTCTGAAAATCATGACATGCTAACTAAAAGCAGTGTAGTAAAAGATAGTGAAGCCATTAAACTAACAATCAATTTCAGTGATAAACGTGTTAAATGTAAAACACCGTGATGAAAATTAGCGATATGGATGTTACGATTGGCTCACCTTTTTTTACTGGCTTTCAAAAAAACATTCATAGACGATCTTCCCGAGTCTTTCTTTCTGGAGCTCCTGGAAATGATAATTAATGATGTACTCTTTCTACTAAGTTTTATTGCAAATAGATATAGGAAAGACACAATCTAGTTTTTAAATAACTCTCTCTTTATTTCAACAGTCTAATCGATATGACTTTGGTGGAAGTTTAAAATTGTAATTTTCAAGTGAACGTGTATTTTTTATTTTATGTTCTAAAAATTTTAAAACATTTAAAGAAATTTTATACCATAAAATATGTTTATATGTGTAAATAGGTGTAAGGTATCATTATATGTGTATGGATGAGTAGACATATGTAACGTATTACTGTGTTTACTTCGACGCGTACATACACACAGCCTTGGCCAAAATGTTTGCATATTTTGTAACAAATAAAGTCATTATTATCAAGATGAAATACAAATACATTTAACGCTAGCAAACTGAGAAATGCATGTTATATTAAACATCTATATATGTAATTTGTATAGTGAGACAGGTTCTATGGACATTATGAACGATTTATTCAAACAGCAAACAGTTCTATCAGATACCTGTAGAAAGATTGTAATTCGGTATTTCACCCATCACAAAACCTTACCAAAACATAGATAATGACAAAATGTAAGATCAGATTATTATAAATAGCGTATGTAACCTTATATCAGTTCATATTAAACATTCAGTACTTGGTTAGCTCTCCCCGTGCTCTAATAACCTCCACAAGGCAATGTGGCATGCTGTCGATGAGGTTATTGATGTAATACACCGTGATTTCATCCCATTTTGTCATCAGAAGAAGCTATAACTAGCTACAGTAGCTGATTTAGGGTTGTTGTTAGCAATTTTCCGGCTCAGTTCTGCCCAATAATTCTCAGTGTAATTACAATCTGTAGACTTTGCTGGTCATGGCAATTTTGTAACGTCCTTTTGGTCGAGATAATTCTGTGGGCAGTGAAATTGTCACTCTGGAGCACAAAGCTACTGCCAAACCTTACCCTAGCATGTGGCAGAAATATCGTTTCCATGTGATGCCTGTAGGACGTGCCATTGAAGTTTCCCTGTGGAACATGAAGAGCAGTTTTTCCACCATGATGATTAGGTACACAAACATGTACTGCACCACTTCATGTATGTTTCATGTGGGAAAGACAATCTTCCCCCATCTGTTCTCCATGCAAACGATGAACAAGAATCCTTCCATCAGCTTTAACAAGCTGGAAACAGGACTCATCTAAAAAAGATGACATGTCGCCAGAGTCCTAACTGTAAGTTGGCATGCTGTCCTGCCCAAGTAACACGGTAACGGTGTTGAATTCTGGTTAATATCGGTTTACACATTGCCCTTTTTGCAAATTAGCATTCTATGAACAGTCTCCTATTCACTGTTCTTCTGGATACCCTGGAATGCATGTGTTCATGCCATTCCTGTCATAAGGTGTTACAAGACTTACCCTTAACCTGGACGTGCTAATCTGATCAAAACACGGTCATCTAGGAAAGTAGTTTTACCTTAAACAATATTTCCTTTAGTCTAATGACGTTTCAGGATTCTAAACACAGTACAATGGGAGTGCCCTACTGTTCTGGCAATGTCCGTTTATTTTATACCATTTCTGGACAGTCGAACAATTTGACGCTCTATAACTTCTGGCACGTGACGAGGCATGACTCTACACCAAGTACAGAGAAATTGTCTGAACAACGCGTTGATCTGTTATGAAAAAGATTATACCAAAGGCATATATATTTATACAAAACAGGTATGTATGTGTGTTTTAAAGAACAAATGCTCAAAACAACTTATACAGACCAGAATAACAACTTGTACGTTTGTCTGATCATACACTACCTTCTCTATTACTACACGGGCATTTTCTCAATAACTACTATATGCAAATATACAATAACATCAATATTGAATAGTATGCAAACATTTTGGTCAAGACTGTATAACGTAACATTTAGTGAATGTGGATACGTAGGCAGATGTAACGTATCATTACATGTACATGGATACGTAGACAGATGTAACGTATCATTGCATGCACATGGATACTAGATAGATGTAACGTATCATTACGTGTACATGGATACGTAGGCAGATGTAACGTGTCATTACATGTACATGGATACTAGATAGATGTAACGTATCATTACGTGTACATGGATACGTAGGCAGATGTAACGTGTCATTACATGTACATGGATACGTAGGCAGATGTAACGTGTCATTACATGTACATGGATACGTAGACAAGTATAAAGTGTCAAACAAAACGCTAGTTTTGCAACATATATAAAATAGAAAAACTACTGTAGCCTTTTCTGTTCACATAGTTTGCTCATTATGTATAAACTGTACATGCATATTACTCTTCTCTAGAATTAGAAATGTTATGTTTTATCCTAAACGTTATGCGCCTCTAGAAAGTGCCTGCAAAAGTTCATTCACCAGCTTTGCCTACTTTTATACTCTACAGGCACGTGAAGTTTTACAACAAATTTCAACATTTTCAGGACACCCAATCTTTGTCAAGCGTTAAAAAAATCAGTGCAAGTATTCTTTTTTCTTAGTAGTATGAATGTGATGAAGATATTTCAGTGACACACTTATGCTAAGTTTGAATGTCAAAAATGTAAAGTATGCTTTAAAAGACCATCATCCGCTACTAAGAGAAGCAACTCCAAAAAGTAAGCATGTCAAGTGCAGGAAAAGTAAGCATGCTAAGTGCAGTATTGAACGTTGGTCTAAGCGCTGGTAACGAGAACAACTAGTGACGATGGCTAGCCTTACTTTATCTTTTGAATATTTTACGATATGTGTTAATCTTAGCGCTAGCGGAATGAAGTAATAAATTCAATCTGCATCTAGTTAGCTGAAGCATGTATCTACTACATTGTTCTTGTAAGCATACCGGCTAGCCTTACTTTATCTTTTGAATATTTTACGATATGTGTTAATCCTAGCGTCAGCGGAATGAAGTAATAAATTCAATCTGCACCTAGTTAGCTGAAGCATGTATCTACTACATTGTTCTTGTAAGCATACCACATCGGTGGTGAATGAGATATAAAACCAATTAATAAATATAAAAAAATATCACACACCCCTTCATTCGGACATTCTCGTTTTCAGAGCTCATTTTGTATAGTTGAGCTCAGAATAATAGCTTCATCCTGCGTTACTGCTGCTTCTGGCTCTTTCTCACGCGTTCTTATCCTTAAAGGCAACACATTTTCTAATTCTCATGTAATATATTTGATAATGTTTGTAATATCAGTAAAATCATCACCTGTATGCTATTTCCCTTTACGAGTTTATTGCTTCCCTTTAAAGGTCTAGTTAAGTAACGATGGTTACATCTACTTTGGGTTACAATTACCACACAAAATTTTGCTTTTGCTCAAGCAGTGGGTAATATCTCATACACACACAACAAAACACTTGGCATTACTTACATTGTATCAATATATCCATGTGTTGTAACGTACAGTTGTGGTCATAATTCATCTACGTATCATCATTAAACAAAATACGTTCAGTGAATTAAGAGCTAAGCTGACTGAAAATTCAGTTTTACAGCACATAAATGAACCGATACATTGTGAGCAATGCCAACTTGTTTTATTTTGCTGTGTATGAGATACCACTTAATGATTGAGCTAAATCAGAATTTAGATTGTTTTTTTCACTCAAGTGTTTTTACGTGTATATGCAGAGAGGGGTAATATACTGTATTACTACGTGCTTGTGGACGGGTAGACAGATGTAATGTGCCATTACGTATACATAGATGATTAGCCAATTGTAACGTATCACGACGCACGTGTAGATTGGTAGACATGTGTAACTATCATTACGTGAATGTATAATTAAGTCATATAGCAGACACAAAGCCATAAAACATATAATAAACTGCTGTTGAATTTGATGTGTAGTTACCAAAATGAAGCAGTGAATATTGCCAAATTGGGATTACTTATGGCATTGCCATACTGTAATGACAAAAATACTGCTACTTACAATCATTGGGTCGAAACATGTTGCAAGCTGTAAAAAAAAAAGGCAAACATTACCATCAATGATACCACGCACTTGGTAAACTGTTAAAAAGAAGGCAATCATTTTGTAAAAGAAAGTAACGTAATATACATGTGTATATTTTGCTTATCAAGCAACCTTTCAGATAACGCCAACAATTACATCTTGAAGTTGTTTACTGTGTTTAAATACATATAAAAATATACAGTAGCTCTAACGTTAAAATAATTTAAATACAAAAGCTTACTACTGAGAAACAACCGATATTAACTTCTGATCAACGCAAGCTGTCTACTTAGATCATAATCAAGAATCAAACCTGTAAAGTGCATGTTTAATAATATATACATTTCTTAAGTTCATACTTATAAAGATTAGGATGCATTGTATGGCCATTTGTGCATCCTCGCTGTTAACGATACTTTCGGCTGTAAACCTAATAATATATCACAGTATAATAGGTTTAAGGACTTTGTAACTTCATATATTAAACTAACGATGCAAACTAATCTTTATAATAAAGTTTGTTTGTTTATAATTAAGCACAAAGCTACATAATGGACTATCTGTGCTCTGCCCACCACGAGTATCGAAACCCGGTTTCTAGCGTTGTAAGTCCACAGACATACCGCTTTGCCACTGGGAGGCTTATAATAAATAAATTCAGATAATAAAAAAATAACGAATGACACTCACTAAACATTGAAGTTTTTTTTAATCTTTAACATATTTCCGCATTTCAAATTAACTTTCAAACACTGCTTTATCGCAACCATGATAAAATAGTTGGGTGATACTTTACAAATATAACAACAATTAGCGAATCTAAAAACAATTTATTTTTGTACTTGAATTTATATTACCTTTCAAACTTGCATTAAGTCCGTTTGGTAATAAACAAATTACTATTTTTATGTTATTCTTGAAACGTATATTGGTGGTATAACTTGTGATATTGATTAAAACAATGTCAGCGTCCAATTTCAGTATGAAGTGTCTTTGATTATAGAACTAAGAAACTTTTCTATTTCAGTATGAAGTGTCTTTGATGATAGAACTAAGAAACTTTTCTATTTCAGTATGAAGTGTCTTTGATGATAGAACTAAGAAACTTTTCTATTTCAGTATGAAGTGTCTTTGATGATAGAACTAAGAAACTTTTCTATTTCAGTATGAAGTGTATTTGATGATAGAACCAAGAAACTTTTCTATTTCAGTATGAAGTGTCTTTGATGATAGAACTAAGACAATTTTCCTATTTCAGTATGAAGTGTCTGTGATGATAGAACTAAGAAACTTTTCTATTTCAGTATGAAGTGCCTTTGATGATAGAACTAAGAAACTTTCCTATCTGAATATGAAGTGCCTTTGATGATAGAACTAAGAAACTTTCCTATTTCAATATGAACTCTCTGTGATGATAGAACTAAGACAATTTTCCTATTTCAATATGAACTGTCTGTGATGATAGAACTAAGACAATTTTCCTATTTCAGTATGAACTGTCTGTGATGATAGAACTAAGACAATTTTCCTATTTCAATATGAACTGTCTGTGATGATAGAACTAAGACAATTTTCCTATTTCAGTATGAACTTTCTGTGATGATAGAACTAAGACAATTTTCCTATTTCAGTATGAACTCTCTGTGATGATAGAACTAAGAAACTTTTCTATTTCAGTATGAAGTGTCTTTGATGATAGAACTAGAAACTTTCCTAGTTCAGTATGAACTGTCTGTGATGATAGAACTAAGAAACTTTTCTATTTTAGTATGAACTGTCTGTGATGATAGAACTAGAAACTTTTCTATTTCAGTATGAACTGTCTGTGATGATAGAACTAAGACAATTTTCCTATTTCAGTATGAACTGTCTGTGATGATAGAACTAAGACAATTTTCCTATTTCAGTATGAACTCTCTGTGATGATAGAACTAAGACAATTTTCCTATTTCAGTATGAAGTGTCTGTGATGATAGAACTAAAAACTTTCCTAGTTCAGTATGAACTGTCTGTGATGATAGAACTAAGACAATTTTCCTATTTTAGTATGAACTGTCTGTGATGATAAAACCAAGACAACGTTCCTAATACAGTAAGGAAGCATAACTGATAACATTGGCCAACAAGTCATTCTCATCAGATATAATTATAGGTGGGCTAGATAGCTCTTGAGACGCTGATTCCAAATCTGTTTTGGTTTTCCTCTAACACGTCAAGTTTTCGTGATTAGACCGATCAAATTTAAAATGTTATTGTCTTAATCATAATTTAACTTGTTGTACATTTCTTTTTTCATAAGAGTGTGCTGTATAAATTTAGCCAAGTGTATGGTGTGTATAACGTTGAAGGGAATTATACTGAAAAACCAATAAAGTTGTAACGTTAACTAGCCTAATATGTGATTATTACCTAAACTGTGCTTAAATACACCAGTCATATTTCTATAACTGGATGTGTTAGAAGAAAACCAAAAACAGATTTGGAATCAGCATGCAAAACTGGTCTAGAAAAGTGTGCTTACATATTTTATGAGAGAACAAAAGTTCGATTTTGTCGACCAGTGTAATAAATGTATAATTGAAAATTAAAATAGCAAAACAAGGTTTCTTGAATGACCTAGACGTAACAGGAATAGTGTTATGAAAATGTAATTGTTTCATAATAAAGTCCTACATTCAGACGATATACATTGATTAGAAGACGTCTTACCTCTCGTCCTTTCTTCTCTGGAGTACACACAATTTTTACAGCTGTAGAATCATCCTGTCCTGGTAAGATGCGGTCTCGACAAACATCCCACAGAGCAACAGCCTGCCAATAGATGCCAGCACTTACTACATGAACTCTTAATAAACATTGGATATGAATTTCTAAAAATATGTAAACTAAGCCTTGCATCAAATGGAAGGAGAAACTTATAATACAGAGAACTTTAAAATTAAGAGCAGGTGATGATGCTGAAGCTCAGATCTTTACCACCTTTTATTATGCACAAACAGTTATGGAAGGTGGTGATTCAAAATTACACAAACAGATGATTACCAAGAACAGACCACTAAAAGAGGAGGGAATAAGATATATAAGATATATATGTAAGCAATAAAAGATAGAAAAACGATATGATTTGTAAGATACTAACAATGAAAAATATTACAGTGTATTACATTTTACTTTTGCTCTGATTAAGTAGTTTGTTCTGGTCGGATGTTAATATTAA